CTTGAGGTTGCGCAATGGCCTCGTACCCACAAGACATTGCCGGAGAGTCGTGTACGACGAGAATGGTTGTTGGGTAGGTCCTGATATAAGTTGTTGGGAAGCTCCTGATACAAAATGCAGTACATTTTTTTAGAATGGATGGGGGCAGTAAAAGTAGACGAGTGCCTACGTGCCTGCATGCAATACCTACCATTGAGTCCATAGTCTAAACTACCCATCTTACTTCAATTGGTCTACATGTTTCGAGCAGCAGAGGGGCTGCCCCTAGGAACTGTAAACGCCCGCTATGAGAGGTGCTAGCACTAGGTCCTTCCTAAGCGAGAGACCTTGACCAGTGTATTCCGTCATCCATGAGACTCCGTCTTTGCTGGTAACGCTAAAGTACTTGTCGTTTGAGTACAAATAAAGCAAGCCGGTTCCGGTGTCGTGCAACTGACCGCGCATCCATGGGCCCGTAGGCAACGGCTTGGTGATTTCAAAGACTCCTTTCATCTCCTCCATGCAAAGAAAGTTCACGATGCCTCGGAACAACTGGAACGAAGAGGCGTAAACCGGGATAAAAGCTAGGAGAGCGTCGAGGGGAAGTCTGAGATACGTGGCAAGACTTTGAATGTCGCACTGAACGATTCCACCTGGCTTGTCGATGAAACCAAACATTTTGCCTCCATGCCGCTCCACAGACTGCTTTGCTTTAAGCAGACGTGACAATATGCGATCGAAGGATGGAACAACCTCTTTTGAACAGGTACGGAAGAACCCACCTCGAAGACGATCCAACACACCAGCAGGGTAGTCTTGATCGTTGACGTGCTGGACTAAGTGAGTACCGCGCATAACCCAAGCTCCTTGAAACATGTCATATTGCTGTACAGCCTCATCATCAACGTAGATGGGCCAAGACTGAAATCTGACTCCTGCTGGATCCCGAAAAGAATCCGTTGGGATTTCATGAAAAGGAAGGTGGGAGATCTGGTTTCCAGGAGACGGAGAGCAATTCGTTGACCAGTAGAAGAAGTGGCCACTGTGAAGTCTTGCGAGGGCAACATTGCGGCCACGTTCAGTTGCTCTCCAAGTCTGCGGGAAGGGAGAGGAGATGTAGAGATCCCCCTTGTCGACGCCACCGGGCCCTAGAAGCGGGGCGTGAGGTTTGTACTGCACGTACTTTGCGTGCGGATTGGGAGGGAGGGAGCGAGGTTGGTGACGAGGGAGGTCCTTTTCTCCGTGGTCACCTCCCAAGTAGACCACGTGGCCATCGGGAAGAAGCTCGGATAGATCACCTGCTTTCTTGACGTTAATGCACGAAACGCGCCTGTTGGGAGGGTCGGCGGGGGCGGCGGGAAGAGTGTTGTCGTAGAGGAGGTTTCCTTTTAGCTTAGATGAGTGCCTGTAGTAATAAGGACACCAGGTATCTGCCTCGACCTCGGGCAAATCGCCGAACTTGGACTTTGATATGTCGGTCTTGATGTAGGCGTTCGCGCAATCAAACTTTCCCTTCAAACGGAAGTCCTTGCGATCAAGAGCCCTAGCAAGGGCTTTATAAAGCTGGACGACAGCTGCCGAAAGAATGATATGACCGCTAGGCGTGAATATACGATCATCAGTACGGATGTCGGAAAGCTTGTCCAAACGAATTTGCCTGCTGGTGCCATGATAGATCCAGATTTGGCCGTCTTCAACCTTGAGGTTGGGATTGCCTTCATCTAGATGCAGTGAAGTGCTGGAGCTGTCCAAGTCGTCTGCATGGCCGCCGGAGAACGTGGTGTCGATTTGGTCATGAGCGGCCTGGCGCACAGCGGCACTGCTTGCGTACCTGGGCATGTTTGAGTTGAGGATACAAAGAACGAATTAAGGAAACATATGTGTGAGGGTGAGGCCGCAAGAACGGGCAGAGCTGGAAACGTACGGCGATACAGGCTGGCGTCGAGGAGGTATCGTTGAGAACGAGTAGGACATATATATTTATAAAGAGCCCAGGGCCATGAGGAGTTTCTTGATTAATGACATACGGACCTCTCTCACGAGAGAATGATTCACCGTGACCGTGACCGGGACACGTAGACAAGTCATGAGAGCAGTGGGATAAGAGGAAAGTGGAACGATACGCACCTCCGTGTGACGGTAGTATCCTGCCGAATTTGACCCGCTTCACTTTGTGTCAAAGTTTTAAACGTTTTAAATGTTTTAGGTCGTATTTATTTGTGAAATTGTGGAATCAAAGTCCAAACTGTGCGTGCACAGTTTCAGTGTACAAGTAGGAGCGCATTCTACAAGCAATCAACAGGACGACTTGCTCTTAGTATAATGGAGATTGTGCTTCTCCATGTGAGGCATATACATGTCAACTCTCCCGGATCTCGCCCGTCCGGGCCGTTCAGAGTAAACAACTTCTGCCCGGCGTTGATGAGCTGGCATACCTCAAGATAAGTGACATCCAATGCAATGAGTTCAACTCATTGCACTGGATGTCGCTTATCTAACCTATCCGACAACTGTGTCAAACCGCCACAGCAACTTGCTGTGAAACCGCCACAGCTGGTTGCTGTGGCGTTTTGACACAGTTGTTTTGAATTTTTTGCTAAAACCGGGTTGGGCGTCAAACACATGATGAACTTTGAGACTTTTTACGTGTTTGGATTATGAGTATTGATTTCACGCTATTTACAATCACGTTTTGATTTCACGTTTTTTCTAATGATGGACGTCATGGCAAAAAACTCTCCGATCACACGCTTGTGATCGCAGAAATCGTCACCACTCGACACCTGGCCACGTGGCGCGAGCGACGTACATGGATGCAGAAAATGACAGTGTAATTGAGCGACGTGTATCAAGGGCTGTAGCAATATTCTTAAAATGGTGTGGACGGAAACCACTACAGTAGAACTGGCCACTTGTTACAGCTGGTCAACTCGACCAAGTTTTGGTTTGTAACGTGGACACGTTTTGATTTCACCTTTTTTCTAATGATGTGGTAATGGCATGCGGTTGAAGAACTTTGAGACTTTCTCCATGCTGGGATTATGATTAGGGTCATCTTTTGAGAGTTTGGGGGCATTTGAAGGAGTTTAAGGATTCCCGAGATTTATGACGGACGTCATGGCAAAAAACTCTCCGATCACACGCTTGTGATCGCAGAAATCGTCACCACTCGACACCTGGCCACGTGGCGCGAGCGACGTACATGGATGCAGAAAATGACAGTGTAATTGAGCGACGTGTATCAAGGGCTGTAGCAATATTCTTAAAATGGTGTGGACGGAAACCATTACAGTAGAACTGGCCACTTGTCACAGCTGGTCAACTCGACCAAGTTTTGGTTTGTAACGTGGACACGTTTTGATTTCACCTTTTTTCTAATGATGTGGTAATGGCATGCGGTTGAAGAACTTTGAGACTTTCTCCATGCTGGGATTATGATTAGGGTCATCTTTTGAGAGTTTGGGGGCATTTGAAGGAGTTTAAGGATTCCCGAGATTTATGACGGACGTCATGGCAAAAAACTCTCCGATCACACGCTTGTGATCGCAGAAATCGTCACCACTCGACACCTGGCCACGTGGCGCGAGCGACGTACATGGATGCAGAAAATGACAGTGTAATTGAGCGACGTGTATCAAGGGCTGTAGCAATATTCTTAAAATGGTGTGGACGGAAACCATTACAGTAGAACTGGCCACTTGTTACAGCTGGTCAACTCGACCAAGTTTTGGTTTGTAACGTGGACACGTTTTGATTTCACCTTTTGTCTAATGATGTGGTAATGGCATGCGGTTGAAGAACTTTGAGACTTTCTCCATGCTGGGATTAGGATTAGGGTCATCATACCCTTGATCAGTCGGTTTGCTGTTCTCTGGGACAAAGTAGAGACGGTAGTGCAGGTTTTCATTATCCGTAACGTGGTATGCGAAAGCAGCCCCGGCGTGAAACATGTCCCCCCTTCCGACGAAGATCGAAAACGGGGGATTATCACCTTTACCGCTTTCAGGCTTATCGAAAGGGCTTGGAGGCTCTTTTCTTCTGCAGTAGCAACCAAGTAGTGGGAAAACGGGCAAACCCATAGGATTCCAGCATCTCCCGCTGTCGTGACAGTGAAAAAACCGGGGTTTTGCTTTGCCTCGTCAAGCAGTAGTGCTTCCTCGTCGTCTAGTCTGCTTTGCACTTTGAAATTTGTGTGCAGCTGCTGGCGAGGACATCCTCTAGACGAGACAAGCCAACGACCACCAGTTTTCGGTGTGTACATACTCAGTCTGAAGTGAATGTCTTCATGTCCAATTCTCTTGATGTTTGTCCAGAGACATAGGGCGGCCATACATTGAGAAATCCGAGCATCCAGGAGTGATCTGGAAGTGCACATCCACACTACGCTGGCGTCCTCCTCAATTGCGGTTGTGACATTGTGTAGAGTACTTTGATATCGACCGATCCCTTGCTTCGCAGCGGGGCTGTCGATCTTAGGAGCTGCATGGCCAATGCAGTTCCAATCGTGTTCGATGGGATATTTCTTAAGTAGATCTGCAGGAACACTTTCATCCGCAAGAAACCCCTCCAAGATTGCGTAGCCTCTCTGCAAAATTTGCTCTCGCCTTCTTCCAAAATAAGTGAGAGACGCTTCATCCTCCATGAATGCCCGTTTCCATGTGTGACGGGTGTCTGATGCCTGTGACGCGTTCATGGCATGGTGGTTGTATGCTGCCCGCCAGAAAACCATGTGATGGTTGACGCGCAGGATAGCAGGATCACAGAGAACGACATTCGCCCGATGCTCATGGGGAATGAAAATTGCATCCAAGAAGGGGGTGGCATGCGCGATGGGATTTTCCCTTCCCCACTTACTCGGTGGAAATACTGCGTGACGCACCCAGCGCTCATCTTTTCCACGGTCTACGTACGGCTTTCGGTTATTCACGCCGAAAGGGAGACTGTTTGGCAGAACATAGTGAGAAGAGTATTTTACTTTTCAAAGCTACTCAAGGTTCTCTCGGTGATTTTTGGACTCTATTTTACTCGACTGATGGGAAATCAAGGTAACTTGTGAAGAACCAAGGCACGAAAGACCGTAACCCCATCCCGTCTGGCCCACTGATTAGGGGATCACCGAGAAGCCACTTGGATAGCTGGTCAGGGCGTTTCACGTTCTCAAGTCCATCTATCGCACTGCACATCTGCTTGCGGAGGGTCTGATTGTCCCAACAGAGCACGGCGAGACACATCATCTTCTTGAAGCGACAAAACTGTCTTCCATATTCATCGCTGTTATGAATCACGAGGTTGTCCACTTTGCGCAAACCGCACGAATGACAACACCTACCAGTGCCCTTGAACATAACACATTGTTTCACACCGTGTCCGGGTTGCGCACAACGCAAGCAACGATTTCTATAACAAATCCAGTCCTTCTCATTCGATGATCCGTCATGTTCTACAATACGCTGTGTCAAAACGGTGCACACTGGACAGAAATTCGGTGAAACTCGACTCCCGTAGTCTAACTTCACATGCTGCGCACTAGCTGCAGTGGTAGTACTCTTAGAGCCTGTGCTTTTGTTCCCAACATTTGCGGTGGTGGCAATTGGCTGAGTAAAACCACGGGAAGACACGGGGACACCAGTTGCACCTGCATTGCTGTGTTGACAAATATCGCAAAGCTCCATACCGCGTTTCTGACATGTGTACTCAGGGGATGTACCGTCGACAAATTCATCCAACAGCCATCGACGACAGCTTGTGCTCTGCTCTTGCACTCCTTCCACTGTACCAAACATATCATTACTCCAATCGTGCTCTTTCACGGGAACGAAATCATCTTTCTTGAAAGGAACTCTGTCTTCTTCAGGGTCTCTGGAACCACCGGGACCATTTGCGTTCAACACAACACTGGATGCTACCTTCCCATCACGCCCAGCTCTGCCACTTTCCTGTATGAATTCGATGAGCGTCCTCGGTTGTCCGGCGTGGATGACGATTCGCACAGTCGGAGCGTCGATACCGCAACCGAAAGCGGCAGTTGCCACCATCACGTGGGCCCTTCCGTCCGAGGTGTCCTCCCAGTTGCACTGCATAACGTCGCGGTCCTCAGCAGTCATACCAGCGTGGTACTTGAAGCAAGGAGTCCCTGGGGAGAGAAGTGTCAACATTTCTGTCAATTTGTCACAGTCCTGCCTTGTGCGGACATAAACGATAGCCCTACAGCTTGCCGTACTGTATTGTTTCCCCAATTCGCATAGGTGTCTATCAACTTGGCGGAACATGGTTTCCTTCTTGACATCGATGACTGCATAGCGAATGTTCGACCGCGATGTGGACATTCGCATCACCCTCCAATCCGACATACCACATGCTTCGGCAATTTGCCCCTCGATTGACGGTGGTGCAGTGGCGGTAAGACAAAAAACTGGGACGTCCAAAGGCTTCGGGCGGACATACTTGTAAAACAGGGTGAACGCCTCTCTAAACTCTTTCCATAACAGCACAAGGTGGGCCTCGTCGATGAAAATTGCGTGAAGTCGTTGCAATGCGTGCTGCTCCTTCATGTAGGCCTGATAACCCTGGGATAAGATATGTTCCGCACTTGCAATGATTATTCTTGCTCCCGCAATACCACGGGAATTCCAAAGGGCAGCATGTATTCCGACATCCGAACAGCGTCTCACGAGGTCTTTCTGCAATGCCACGAGAGGAACGACGACAACGACGACCTTTTCAACGTGTGTAAACGCGGGAAGCATGAAAGTCAAAGACTTTCCACCCCCAGTTGGGAGAACTATAATCGCATCTTTCCTACTCTTCATGCAGTGTTTCACAGCATGCTCTTGCATTTTGGATTTGAATTCAGCGTCCTGTTTGTCAAGGAAGTTTCGCATCTGGGTCTTGACATTAGAAGACATCATAGGATCTGGACGAAATTTCTTTCTCGAGGAGTCGAGATCCTTCTGCAAGAGGCCTGTACCTCGCTTAAGGCCAGAATTGTCCTCAAACTGACCAGAGACAGGTTTGTTGTCGGTGCGTGATTGAATTAATTCTAACAGGAGTTGTTCCATTCGGTCCATGCGGGAAATGATCTCTCCAAAGTCGCCTTGAGGTAAGGGCTTGTCCTCAGTGAGGGATTGAGTTCCTGTCTGTGAAACAGCGTCAGATGAGCGACACGGCGGCCCATGCATGAGTCCCACAGCATCATGCCAAATCTTGGAGGCTCGGCGATACCTCGCCAGTTCGGTAGCTGTCAATCTGGGCATATCCATGGAAGAGACCCCATAAAGCTGATGGGCAGTTCTTTCGCTGTGTCCGGCCTGGTTATGAAGCACATTGATCTGTCCCATGGTACTCTGCTCATCCCAATCCGTCTGGAAGGGGAAGAAGTTTTTCACAACTCCGCAATGGTACTGCCGATACTGGCTCGTGGTGAGCTCCATTTCCATAGCGATCATTGTTTTTTCAAAGTAGTGGCGAAGGCGGTCAACTGTTACACGTGTCCCTCGGCTGACGAACAAGTAGTCTCTATGCTGTGTGCCTACTGAATTCGCCACATTTGGCGTCAAATCAGTGGCGGGAACCGCGGTCTCCATTTCTTTGTTCTGACTAGCATCATGAATAAGTTGCACAACAGTTGCTTCCAAAGGCCTGATAACCATTATGTATACCATTAGCAGTCCAGCTGTATCCATGTCGGGGAAGCGCGCCACCGGTCGGGCCACACCGCCATGCATACTTCGGCTTTTGTGGTAGGAGATGACGGTGAACAACATACCACCATTGATAAATATGTTGCGGGGACCGAACGTTGAATTGCAGATGCGCATTGAACTGATCTCTGTGGCACGAGCGGGAGCGCCGGAGCAAGTTTGGAGCAACACATACAAGTAACTCTGCAGCTCATCGCAGCATTTTAAGAATTCTTTTGCCGCGTCAACATTGACAGTGTTGTCTCCATGCAGAAGAGTGGGCCTGTACTGCTCTAGAAGTTTGCCCGACCAGAATTCAGTGACATGTTTGTTTGCAGAGTGAGAACCAAACCAGTAGGAAGGCGTCAAGGCGATGAGGCTGTCCTGCATCTCCATACAGGAAGACCAGAAGTGTGGAGTAATCTTCAATCCATTCAACAGGTGGTTATCGAGAAGACTCCATGCCTTCTTCTGCAACCCTTTCCACTTGCGGCCAAGCTGGGGTACGGACAACTCCACCCCATCGATAATGCCACAAAGCTCATGCTTTGGGCATAGGGTGAAGCGTGTCTTGACATTTTCGCCGTCTCGGAGGCGATGACAAACAGATAGACAGTACTGGACGAAACGTATACCATGGTCTGTGTTTGAACCGGTAGCCTTGTTTATCCTGTCCCAGCCTAAAGTAGTGTCTTTCTCACCGTACTTGTAGACGTCCATCACGACGACGCAGCGGGCGAAATGCTTAATTGCTGCCATCATGGGTGACATATCACTCGCATTTGCGAAGCGGAAAGTCTTGCCACCGTCCCCTGTAATCACAGAGCAACAAGTAACAAAGACAACTAAACCGTCATTGTGATCATGAAGGGGACTGAAGAACAGGCCGTAGAGTAAAGAGTGCAACTGCTGCAGAGCGGATTGTTCGGATGCATTGGTGAGCATCCCCTCGATTGCATTAATGATGTCGGGCGAGAAATGTTTGCGCATTGCGTTGCCCTCCTGGCACGAGTTCCATACGAAGGCAATGAGTCTGGACGCGCGGGAGTCGTAGTGGTCCTTAGTCTTCTCCTCGACTGCCAGCGAAAGGGTTGAGTCCATAAATGTATGTGTCTTGATGTACACTTTCCTCTCAGTGATATCAAAAGCACGCTTGTGGTATTCGGAAACAAGTTTTCGAAAAGAAGAACGTTTAGCTTGGTCCGCGAGAAAGCAAAGGCTATGAGCCTTCTCCATCGACAAGTTACAGGCCTTCAAGTGCCTATCAAAGCGCATTACCGACAGGAAAGAGTCCATGGCCGAAATATCCGCACCCAAGTCAGCGGGTTTTGAACCACGCAGGTTCCTCATCGTGGTGGACAGGACGCAAGATCCTGTAGTGGGGTCATTGTCCTGGAACACTTCGAAAAACTTGCGCTTGTTCCCGCCGAAGATCGACTGGGCCTTGACGCGACGAATATCCTGAACTGTTCGAGTCGAGCACGGCAGAGAGGTCATATGCTTGCGGACTGTATCAGCTTTCGGAGCGATATAACCACAGGTTGGACACTTAAAGCAGTCATGGACAGGGAGAATGTCTACTGCTGGCAAAACCTGACCAGAGACGTACATGGCATCAGTCGTTTCGATATATTTCTTTCGGAGACGGTAAGGGATAACGCCTTCCATGCAGCTATTGTCCTTCTGCTCCTGAATCTTGGATTTTTTCTGCTCTTGAGTGACTCGCTCGGCTTCTTCATCGCCAGTTCCACGGTGTGCCCCGCCGCGAATATGCCTCTTCACGCTAGCAACTTCGAGGGCATACCCGCACTTGACACCAGTACAGACGGCCAGGTCGAGAAGGCCGCTGTACACGATGATGAAATCGTTTGAAGTCATTTCGGAGCGGAAAAAGTTGTACTTTGAAGGTGCAAAACAATGGAACAGAGCTGGAACGTGATAAATGGTATCCTGATGGGATGGATAGCTTGTGCAAGGACGAAGACAGATGGATGGGATGCGGAGGCACGGGAAATGAGAGAGGTGAGGCGGTAACGGATAATTTATATATGTGAACATTGGCGCCCGTACTGGGTAGGGTTAGAGTGTTGACGTCTCGATACGTGGTACATTCTACGGCGAAGCAGTGAATCAGGGGTACGCAGTGATGGAGATGGGATGTAAGGATTGAGGGGAAAGACGTTATGGGGTATTAGGTGATTTTGGGGCATATGTCGTTATATGACGTCAGAATAGTCATATACCGACATATGAGTTACTTGTATGATGAGCACGTCTACATCTTTTTCTTTTGCTTGAATTTATGAATACATATGTGTATGTGGATATACAGTTTCTAGCCGACCGGGGCTTGTCCTCACATGTGGACGGCGATGTCCTCATATTAGGACATCTATTTGTAGACCTTGAATTCTGGATTAAAGTTGTGTTGGAGGTACCCTTGATCTGTCGGTTTGCTGTTCTCTGGGACAAAGTAGAGACGGTAGTGCAGGTTTTCACTATCCGTAACGTGGTCTGCGAAAGCAGCCCCGGCGTGAAACATGTCCCCCCTTCCGACGAAGATCGAAAACGGGGGGATTATCACCTTTACCGCTTTCAGGCTTATCGAAAGGGCTTGGAGGCTCTTTTCTTCTGCAGTAGCAACCAAGTAGTGGGAAAACGGGCAAACCCATAGGATTCCAGCATCTCCCGCTGTCGTGACAGTGAAAAAACCGGGGTTTTGCTTTGCCTCGTCAAGCAGTAGTGCTTCCTCGTCGTCTAGTCTGCTTTGCACTTTGAAATTTGTGTGCAGCTGCTGGCGAGGACATCCTCTAGACGAGACAAGCCAACGACCACCAGTTTTCGGTGTGTACATACTCAGTCTGAAGTGAATGTCTTCATGTCCAATTCTCTTGATGTTTGTCCAGAGACATAGGGCGGCCATACATTGAGAAATCCGAGCATCCAGGAGTGATCTGGAAGTGCACATCCACACTACGCTGGCGTCCTCCTCAATTGCGGTTGTGACATTGTGTAGAGTACTTTGATATCGACCGATCCCTTGCTTCGCAGCGGGGCTGTCGATCTTAGGAGCTGCATGGCCAATGCAGTTCCAATCGTGTTCGTTGCCGTCTTTGTTGCTGAACTTTTGGAAAGAGTTCTGTACTGCCCTGTGGAGAGGCAAAAAGAAGTTGCGGCCTTCGATGGGATATTTCTTAAGTAGATCTGCAGGAACACTTTCATCCGCAAGAAACCCCTCCAAGATTGCGTAGCCTCTCTGCAAAATTTGCTCTCGCCTTCTTCCAAAATAAGTGAGAGACGCTTCATCCTCCATGAATGCCCGTTTCCATGTGTGACGGGTGTCTGATGCCTGTGACGCGTTCATGGCATGGTGGTTGTATGCTGCCCGCCAGAAAACCATGTGATGGTTGACGCGCAGGATAGCAGGATCACAGAGAACGACATTCGCCCGATGCTCATGGGGAATGAAAATTGCATCCAAGAAGGGGGTGGCATGCGCGATGGGATTTTCCCTTCCCCACTTACTCGGTGGAAATACTGCGTGACGCACCCAGCGCTCATCTTTTCCACGGTCTACGTACGGCTTTCGGTTATTCACGCCGAAAGGGAGACTGTTTGGCAGAACATCCTCGAACTCGGTGTCATCTTCAAATTCAACCTCGGCGTCATGCTTAAGGGGTTTCTCCTTCTCAACGTCTTTTTCCACTTGCCTCTGGCGCGCACTCAGACCGTTTGACACTTGGTCGTCGATGACAGTTTGTGGGTTTTCGGAATGTCCTTCCCTAACCGGTGCAGCGTCAGTGGTAAAATGGACAGCAAGAGTCTGAAGGGGATGGGATTTGTGTTTCCCAGTCCCGTGGCGGCGAAAGGCACCACCCCTGGAACGTCGCGGAGGTACAACGGGGGGAATTTCGAGTGCGTCGCTGCGGTCCTCGGCCTCGGTCCTTTTCGAACGTCTGTCCAGATCCCCGGAAACGACCTTGCGCTTCTTGGGTGGCGACACAGTCGAATGGAGGAAAGCTTGAGAGGCATTCTCCTCCCGTCCGAGCGGAGAAGGTGCCAGGGGGGGAATTTCGAGTGCGTCACTGTAGTCCTCGTCCTCAGTCCCTTTTGCACGTCCGTCCAGATCTCCAGAACAGACCTTTCGCTTTTTTTCGTGCGGAGGTAGAGCAGAAGTGTGAAATGTATCGGAAGCATTGTTCTCTCCTTGATGACTACTACTGCGCTCGCTGTCGGAGTCCAAGTGTTCGAATTCCGAGGCTGAGCTATCGGAGTCGCCCGGACCATCCCGGCGAGAGCTCGCATCTATTGTGAGAGATCGGGGGCGGGGGCGGGGAAGGCGAGGGGGGGTGTTCGAAATGCGTCGACGTGGAATTTTGAGTGGCGGCTTCTGTATAGAAGACTTTTTTGCTGTGCCCTCTTCGGAGGAAACTTGTCTACATACCCTGTAATCGACTCCTACGGCGTCGATCAACCTTGCTCGAAACTTTTGAAGACGAATGCAATGGGTAGTTTCAGGTCGGTAGCACTGAATCTTGTACTTTGTCATTATTCGCACTACGAGCTTCGCAATCTTGACTCGAACTCGCTGCACCGGGGCTTCCATTTTCAGAACATCGGAGAACGACAGCCGCATTCGCTCCGCAGCAACTGAAACTTCTTTGAGAAGGAGGCGTAGCATTGCGTAGAACTGGGTGCTAAACGAGTGAAAGGACTGCTCTAGTCCAGCGTCCACTTTCCCAGCTATAGCGCCAAGGGAGAGAGAAAATTGTTCATCTGTCGTCTCCTTCAGCAAATAGTCATTACAAAGGTGGACGAGAGAAAGTTTCTTGCAGCTCTTGGAGACCGCAACAAAACTATCAAAGTTTTGCTTGCTGTCAGATAATTTCAAAGCTACTTGGGCATATCGAAGGGTTTGCCGTGGACCCATGCGGCCAAGTGCCTTGCCCTTGGACAGAGCACAAGCAAGGATATTTGCGGAAAGTCGCTGCCCAATGTCTGGTCGAGCCCTGAGTACGTACGCAAGAGATACGGTCGCATGCACGTGGTCCTCAAATGTCGGGGCTCCAACTGTGGTACTTGCTCGATTGAGTGCCCCACTGAGGCTCAAAAGTTCCGCTCGAGATATAGCAATGCCATTGTTTGGCGTCCAAAGTTTAACGGACAGGCGGGCGAATCTCTTCTTCCACACCTCCGAGGTTTTCGTGAGGGCATTCATCGCCCTTAGGCGATGGCGTCCGTCTATGAGATACACTCTCACACACTCGGGAACCTCCGAACCTCCGCCCTTTTCCAACACTCTTTGCAGTTCGTCCCACTTTCCAGGATCCGCATCCCCTTTTCCCTCTGCAATTGCTACAGACAACATACCAACGCTCTCCAAATACCCCTTCTCCTTGAACTCGGCCAACACAGTGTCAACGTGCTCGGTTCGAAGCCTTCTGTACGTGTGTTCTGGTTCCAGAATATTCTCCAGATGAACTATCACCGTGACCTGGCGATAGCTCTGAAGGGGAACATTCAGAAAATTCAACGTGTGTGCCTCCTCAGCCTTGATCTGAGTAAACTCGTCGTTATCACGGACGAAGCTGCGATCTTGTACATCATCCAATAGATCCTCTACAGCCTGTGAATCTGAAACTTCCATTACGGGATGTTTGTGCAGATCACAAGAGATGAGAAGGGGAGATGGTGAGGGGGGGCGGGGTTGGGGTATTTGGAAGGTGGCAGGGGATAGAATTGCGGTGTTGGGAGAGTAGCTGTGGTGTGTGGGCAAGAATGGTTGGAACGGGACGGGAAAATGACTGGGACAAGTGTTCTGGGAGGGGTTGTCTAGATAGGGGAATGCCTTAACCATTCCACAAACAGACTCCAGCGTCGCATGGTTTTACCCGTCCAAAATATTTGTAAAATTTAGACACGAAAAGACACGTGTATGTTCATGGCAAAAATTAGGCTCTGGGACGGGGTTTGCGCCGTGGAGAATGGCAATAACCATTCTGTGGACGACTAGTAGCCTCCATGGAGCCCCGGAGGCCAATCGTTCAGAAATACGCGAAAGGATTGTGTGTCTTTGTGTGCACTGCTTGCATTAGATTCCTGCTGTGTCTGCGCAAATGCGACCCGTCGGATTCGTTCGCCAATGACGCATGTTGTGAAAGAACCGGGAATAAGGAAGATGCAGCAGAGTAAATTGTCAAGTCTCGTCCGTACAGATCTGCAGTGCGGAGACTACTGGGTACGGAAGAAGACAATGATGCCTGTTGTGAAAGAAACAGGGATAATAAAGAATCAGCAGAGAAAATTGGCAAGGCTCGTTCGCACAGCTCTGAAGTGCCGAGACTCCTGGGAACGGGAAAAGCCCGGCGAGCAACCTCGCGCGCAGTCGCATCGCCCGTTCGTGCGGTGGGTGATGTCGCATATCAAAACGAATGAAGAAGGAATGGTTGTTAAAATTACTGACGAGTCGGTAAAGCGTTTATTGGGCGTCGTAATTGACAACGGGCCGGTTATGGATTATAATAAGGCGAAAATTGAAAGGAAAATGATGCTGGGGCCGTTCGGTCAACATTTTCGTGTAGTACAAGGCTGTGACTTGCGGTATGGAGACCGGGACCGCCGTGTTCGAGATCTTTTCGAGCGTTTTATGACGTCTCCCGTGGAGATCCTGAGTCCATACTCTGTAATCTGCACTTTTTTTTCGGATATCGGCCTGGCGAGAACGGTGTCACGAAATAGAAAGCATGCTTTCGCCACTGAAATGGCAACGAGATTTGAGCAGCTGCTGTACCTTGGAACATTGACAAGCCTCACAAAAGTTGTCAAGGAGGGTCGATGGGTTGCAGCCAAGAAAGGAGTGAAGGTTTCGAAAGCTTCAT